AGCTGCATGTGTAGGTATGCTACAAGTACATTTGCAGCTTGCGTGCGTGGTTTTCTAGAGCTGCCAGTAAGGATGTGGTAAGACATATATATATAGCTGCATGTGTAAGTATGCTACAAGCACATTTGCATCTTGCATACGTGGTTTTCTAGAGCTGCCAGTAAGGATGTGGTAAGACATACATACATATATATAATTTATAGCTGCATGTGTAGGTATGCTACAAGCACATTTGCATTTTGCATGCGTGGTTTTCTAGAGTTGCTGCTACGGAGTTGGATATGAGGCTTAAATCGCGGCATTTGTGGGTGTGCTACCCGTCCTAGAATTGGTTTTGGCTGGGATCTTGCTTCAGGAGTTGCTTGAGTAGTGAGATCTTGCTTGGGTAACTTTCGCTGGTATCTTGCAAGCAAATATAGCTTTCGCTGGGGTCTTGCTGGAGTAATAAACTGATATGCAGATTCCCAAAAAAAGAATCCGCTGGGGTCTTGCTTCAGTAAAATTCAGTAAGAACATGTGCAAAAGCAAAGATGTCAACATAGAGTAAAACATATCCGAGTTTCCGCCTGCGGCTCTTTATCTATTCATTCTTGGGCCGGGGCCTGGCCGGACAGGGCTCACGAAGCGTGACCCTCTGCGGAGATTGTGTGTGTCGAGTGCTCAAACACGAGGCCAACTGCGAAATCTGGCCTGGGTGGAGGAAATCGTGCGAGTGCTCAAACGTGAGGTGAAATGCAAATTCCGGGTCTTCCAGGGGGTCGTGCGGGCAGGAGACCATCCGGCGTTATGGCGGCGCGACGGCTCCATCAATGCCTTGGCCGCAGGAACCCGAGGACAAGTGCTCCTTGAGAGGCAGTGGTGTTGTATTCTCAACCGCTTCTTTGTGTTTGTTCTACCCTTCACCCCTATAGTCCTCTAATCACTTTATGTCAACAACGTGCCCTAAACACCCACCTCAAATGCAAACCACTCGGCTACAGTGACTTGGATATTTGCCACACTTGGAGATTCCAAGGTTTCAGTCCAGTATAAAATTTATTTCAACTGCATGAGGCCAGTTTGTGTTGATGAGACAGTGGTTCGTGCAAGAACAACATCGGACTCCTCAAACTCTCAAGAGATTCTCCTCTACAAACCAGAGGCTTTGCTATCCAGTGTGTCTATTTTGCAAAACTCTCTCCTTAGTAGGACTCCGGGGCTTCTGTTTGGACAGGCGTAACTTCGATATCAATAGTTGGTAGAGCGGCGGAAGAGAGAGCCTTCATAGACTATGTGTGCTAGATTTTTCATGTCGTGGTTCCACAGGATGTGGCGGAGGAGGATAAGTTTGATCGCATTGAGAAGCTGATCATCAAAGCATCCAAAACCAAACCAGAAGGGCGAGACGGGCGCCGTGGTGACTTGTTTGCATCGGGTCCAAAGCCATTGAGAGTTATAATAGTAAGATGTGCTGTGCTTGATTGTTTTGGAGGCCATCGCTATTAGGTTGGAGGCAAGTGCTACTAGGTTGGAGGCCATTGCTATTTGTTTGGACCTGATGTTGTTGAAGTCACCGGAAGCTTTGAGGCTTTGGTGGTAAGGGAACATCTTCTCAGGTGGGACATCCGGAAGAGCCTGGCATCGAATGCAAACCTATGCAAAAACACTGCAACGAGATTGCCAAAAACCCTGCTGATGAATACCTTGCCCATGTTCAGCCTACTTACTGTATGTCTCAACGTGAAGCTTGGTGTTGATGGGTGTGATCACTGAAACAATGACGGAACTAAGCTTTCTTGAACGATTTGTGGGGATGCCCTATCAAGCTGACATCACTCGTCCGAAGCCGCCCGCTGCAATCGTCAGGGCAGTGAGTCAGAAGCGGCGGATAGCGGCGGGCTGCAAACTCCTGACGTGAGGCAAGCCTTGAAATTGGGCAAATGATTTGAGGGATGGTCAACTTGTGCTGGTTGAAGCCTTATTGAACTCAAGACATGGGACACTTTGACCATCCCTAGGCCCTAGGGCCAGGTGAAAGGGGCCCAGCGGAGAGTGGGTTCTGACCGTCTACCGGAATGTCCCAAAGAAGGGCAAGAACTCCGACAGGTCGTCCTTCATGGCTGGAAACCAAACCGAATTGTGTTCCAAAGAAAAAGCCGCAAAAGACATCTAGTTGACTCCTAAGGTTGCCGGGCTTCGCTTGGATCCTTTTCATCGCTCTTTCATCGCTGTTTTTCGCAGAAACAACTCGTCCTTTCACACCGATGAAATCCGACCTCTCATGCGAGTCCATCCGATCAGTCTCTGTAGTGAAGCTCCAGGGAGGATGCACCAGGGACGCACCGATCGGAGGAAAGGCACCAAGGCAGGCGCGGTTTCACAGCTTCAAGTTGCAAGCTTCACGCGCATTCAGGCGCGAAGCCAGAAACGGAACAGCCCTCGTCTCTTGTGCCAACATCTTTCCTCCAGGAGTGAAGTAGTGAACAGATCGAAAGGCAGCTCCACTTCCATCGGGGTGGAGCCATGGGTTGGCTTCCGTGATGCGTTTGAATGCGCCAGAAGCTGCGTTGTGCAATGCACAATAATGCACATATGCTGACCTTGAACAGAGGTTCTGCATGTGATTCCTGTTGCTAGGCCAAAGATATAGATTGCTTGGCAGGAGGGGAAAAGTGGCGCCAATCGATTCCCTCTCAGATGGATCCCCACCAGCGTTTCCCCTGGCTGTCTGTATTGCTCCTGACCTCTTGGCATTCCCGGCCCCAACAGCTGTGGCTCCACGACCAGGTTACTTGGTGTAGAGCTGTAAAACATGGATCCCCAGAAATGACCAGGGGTTGGAAGTAGCTGTGTGGGCGGATTATGATAGATCCCTATGAGGTATGGAGGGTATATGCAGGCAGCCCAGCAATAGCACTGACACTCCTATGGAATGAAGAGTGATGTTGATGCCAGACGTCCAGCTCAGATGCACTTGAATGAGAGAGGGATCACTTAGGCCGTTTGAGCTACATTAAAAAACACATAAACAGGCTGACTTGCGCTAGCTAAAGAAGCAACCAGCTTGCAAGAGCCACAAGCGCTACACCAAAATGTGAAGGGTGAAGGGTACCATTCCACACCAGCCAAGGTATGCTAACCCAACGTCCTCTTGAGAGCTCCAGTGCCTTGGCCGATAAGAGTATTACATATATATATATACTATATATATATATATTATATCTACTTTTTAATAGGCATAATTAAGATTGTCACTAGTAGTAAGGCCAGGAGCTACTAGTAGCGTCCTTGCTCCTAGTAGCGATGCCCTTTGTTCCTAGTAGCTTCTTGTTACTAGTAGGAGGACATACACACATAGCCATGAAGAGAATCATCAATACAGGAACAGTTTAGCACCTCAAGGCAAGTCTCAGGAAGGCACTCGTCGTGGCTCGCAGCCGACGTTTGGCCGCCAAGGCAACTTGCCATCAATGGTCAGACACTTGGAGGGCCGCTGATGTTGCCACGAAATATGGAAATCCCAAGACGGATGATCAATGCTAAGCTAGCAATGGTCAATGACGTGCCAGAGATCAACTTTGAAGGGGGCTCAGGGTGCTTGACCGGACAACAAATGGCTGTGCATTCTAATAGGGATGGCTGGGTAGACTGGTCTATACCTTCCAGTGGGTCGTTGCCCGGGCGGTCTCCCTCTTTTGATACACACATTAAATGGATTTGTGAACGGTCAGTGAGGGCCATTGCAGTCACAGCCCGGCTCGGGTGAAAACGGTCGAAAGTGGTTTGTACCAGAGCTTTGATGGCAAAGAATTCAATATCCTACTGTTTCTCCTGCAAGGTGTTAGCGGAAGGCGGACATATGAAGTAGATGTTCTCCTCCGTTCTTTACCTCAAAGGCTCAAAACGGTCAACCTTGAAACATGACCCATGGGTGATATACAGGCTCCTGAGCTCCATTGGCTGGGAATGTTGGGTTTCGGACCAAAGCTGTGGATCTCTCTTAGGATGAGGGATTCTTTGAACATGTTTGAACCCTTTGGTCATCCGTACGCACCTTTCATGTCACCTGCCATTTTTTTTTCGGTTTTCCCTGTCGCTTTGAGGTCGAAAGCTTTCAGGCCTTGGATCAGGCGCGCTGGCCTTTTTCGGAGAAACAAATGGCTGGAAGATCAAAGGTGAAGAGGATGAGTCTGAGGGCACTCACATGGTCTGAGGGTATTTCTTGTAGTAACAAGAAGCTACTAGTAACAAGTGCCTTACTAGTAGTAACAAAAAGCTATTAGAAACAAGAATTAAAAGTAAATGTAATTAAAAGCTACTTGTTACTAGTACCTACCCCTTCTTAATTTGCTTATCCGATAAGCCGAACACTTTGAATGATGAGCGCATTCATTTTGTATAGCTGGTGCTCCTTTTTCAGCACATGTGTGGTAATTAAGTAACTTTGGTAAGCACATGTGCTGAAAAAGTAAACTTACTGTAACCTAAAAGTATTACACTTTTCAGTTGTTGATTACGCAACTTTGAAGTAGTCCAACTAGACGCGTCCGGGTCAAGTGAAGTTTTGTTTCATGCACCAGGCAACAACTTCCGTCTGCAAGAACCCTCCCAGCTGTTGGCGAGCCTTGAATCAAAGCTACAAGACTTCTGATGAATAAGTTAAGTTTCCCTAAAAATCTAGAAACGAGCGCGAGCTATCCTGTGTCCATACTAGTAGCTCAAATACGGTACTAGCTACCTCTCCCTTACTTAATTAAGTAGGCACGTACTTAATTAAGTAGGGAGGGGGAAGCGGCCAAAAAATGTGTATCTATATATATATATATACAATATTTGGGAGAATAACTTTGTGGAGAGTCCGGAGAGCTTCGTCCACTCACTGCCCTTCGCGTTGCTGAACTACTGGGAAAGGTGCGAGCAGCGGTGTTGATGCAACTTCATGTGATGTTTGAGCTGCAAAGATTTTACAAACATCCTTTAAAAGATACATTCACACAGTTGTCAATACCTCGGATGCCTCGAATTGTATTCACCTGCCTCCTCCGCATCCGAAAAGATGTTTGCATGTCGCATCATGTCGCTTTAGTGGCGCCAGGTGTGTCCCATCATTGACAGTGATATTGAGTCGCAGGCCGGGTCTTCAGGAAAGATGCACGGTTCTTGTGTGCATGTTTTGCCACTGCGCAAACTGTGTGCTCTGGGTCTTGCCGTGGAAGTTTCGTCAAGTTCCTTGCATTTTACCAGCTCAGAGCCCTGGCCACCTGGACTCTTCATGACTCTTCTGCTTCCGGCAGAAGGCTTCACATGAAGCCCAAACCCAACCATTATTTCATGGGGCGCCCAAAGCCCAACGAATCACCCAACCTGCACAGAATGCCACGGAGGCCGGGTTTCTCGTTCTTGCAATGAACATGCCCCATCAAACTGCGAGCCCCATGGAAACTTTGCCCACTTGTATTGTGCAGGTGGGTACTCTACGCGTAGTGATCTTCTTGGAGGTCTCAATTCTGCATTTCAAAGCACGGAGTGATGATTTCTTAGACATTCCAGGTAGAACGATGCGGGACGTCTCCCCATCCTTGAAGAGTTGAAGAGCTTTTTGAAGTAGATGACTTCCATGCTTAAGTACACATAAAATATCATAGTTAAATAGAATTGTTTTTTTCCTAGCAATGGGTACAGGGCCCATACCCATGAACATGGGCGCAAGCATGGCGAGGACTTGGGCTTAGCCACAGTAGCGAAACCTTCGGACCCAGTCTGGGACTTGGCTTAGTCATTCTGAGCCATTCGTTCGCTGGAACTTAGTCTCCAAAAGACATCCGGACTTGCACAGGCTGGACAACGGTTGTCCTCGGAATTTCTCGGCCTAAAATGCAGAAAAGGTTCTACTTCTTAAACTTCACGCTTCGGTAAAGCTAGCGCTTAAAAAAATAGAAATAGAATAGAAATCAGTTTTTCTTGTCTTTTTTTGCACGTGGCTCCTTTGCAGCTGCGGCTCTACAGGGGTGCAAACTGTACCATGAGTCACAACAGACCTCCGAGGTGGGGCCGGCAGCAGTATCTGCTGTAAAGCCTCAGGCTGTGAGTGGTGCACCCAACTTGGGGAACGGGCGGAACTTGTGAAGAGACTTAGCGTTTTGGACAACCATATGGATGCTTACACGCACATATGATTGCTTTTTTGATATTTTTTGTACACGGTCGGTCCAAGCGGAACACAGGCTTTGTTGCTTGGCAGTTCGTTTGGTTGCTAAGTCTGCCAAATCGCAGTTGTGAAGCCCGGACAGGCATATAGAGTTCTAGAACACTTTGTGCGGCTTGCCACGGAAAAACACAGGTATGCCCGTATGCCATTGAACGGAATCCAAATCAGATCGTCGATGACATCTCTGCTGGTAATCCATTCAGTTGAAGAATTTGGTTGAATGTATGATAATGGAGCTTCCTCAACTTCCGGACCTCTTATCTTTCACTTCTGGTGGGACATCGGTGCCAGGTGATCAAAACGAGCGCTGTGGAGGAAGCGGCGCCGTTGAAGGGGGCCTACGAACTGGAGTTGGACTCTGAGTTCCTTCGACAAGATTGTTGCATGAATACATTTCACGCTGGAGAAGGACCACAAAACGACCACAAGATGTTTCCTGGTTTTGTCATTGTTTGTGCTGGTTGGGCATGGCCCACTTGCATCCCTTGAGAAAGCTTGACTTTGAAGATGGTTTGGCTAGGGGCTGCCTTTTTGTGGAAGCTTTGTTTTGCTGAGCAGCTATTGGCAGCATGTTTAGGTCTTGCCATTGATAAGGCCTTCGACTTCATTGTGCCATGATGTGCCAGCAAGTCTCGTGTTGACACATTGTGTCCGATGTGTGAGGATGTGGCGGCAGGCAGAGGAGGCGCAGAAACGCATGCGAAATGTAGATTCCATGGAGGCCATCAGATGCTTTGTCTGTCGCTTCTTGCACCTTTGTTTGTCGTCGTAGCACATCAGGTGTCATTTTTTCCCATCCAACTGGCCCTTAAATTCTGGGAGAGACCTGCAAACAAACGAGTGGACCGGAGAAACATTTGGGTTTTGACCCATGGTCTACAGATCGAAGTAGATACGGTGACTAAAAGCAGCTGGACACTGAAAGCAATATTGGCACCTCTCAGTTTTTATTTAGGTGGAGAAGTGCGCACACCATATTTGTTTGATTTCTCTGAAGCATGCAAAGGACATTCTCCAACCTGGGCATATTCACGTGAAAAAACACATGTTCCGAACCTGGCTCCACTCGTCGCTTTTTCAAGCAGCTCCAGGAGAAGTTCCGAGTCTATTTGCAGGAGCAAGAGCAAGAGCTCATAGTCTGGGGACCTTGCAATCCCTCGAATCGAAGCAGACATCGAATGCCATTTTGAGAGTCGGGGGGTCGGGTGGTGCCAGACTTCCTCCAAGAGAAGGGCCTGGGTCTTGGCCTATTTCAGGATGGTCCTTGGGCATCGCCTTTGAGAGGTAGCCATGGATGGATCAAGGATGGCTTAGAGTGGTTCAAGGTGAAGCATCTTCGAGTTTTATAGGAAACTCGCTCTGCCACCCCCAACTGAGGAGCGGCTTGAAGAAGAATTCCGCCAAAAGGAGGCAGGACCGGGCATGTATCGTTGATGTCTCACTTGGAATCCTCCAAAATGGTTTGGTCGAAGGGAACGTAGATGACCCAGTGAGGTGGGGTGTCCTGAACCTGAAGTACATTCTGTTGGACTGGCAGTAGAATCACGAAGGTTTCAAGCACTGGGTGAATCATGCCAGAATTCTTTTGGCCTGAACCCATTAGTCACTAGTCCTGTGTCTTGAGGGTTACTCTTTGTTGATGTTTTTTGGTTGGGTTTAGGGATTCTTTTTGGATCATCTTCTTGTTTGTTTTCTAGCTCTTCATTGCTGCTCTATGATTTCTCCGGCTTTTTCTGGCTTTTTTGTGCTTGTCTTGTTTCTTTCTTTTCCTTGCTTTTCATTGCTTCTCTGTGGTTGTTCCTGCTTTTCCTGAATTTTTGTGTTTGTCTTGCGTTTCATTTGCTTTTCATTGCTTTCCTTGCTTTTCCTGCTGCTTCTTTTGCGGTTGTCTAACTCTTCCCGGCTTTTCTCCTTTTTGTCTTTACTTTCCTGCTTCTTGTCTTCTTGTGGCGTATTGTTTCCCTGCTTTAACTGCTTTTGCTTTCTATGGCCTTTAATTGCGGTTGCTTTGTATTTGCTTTTCATGCCTTGAATTGGTGTTGCTTTCCTCTTGTTGTTCTTTTCTGCTCTACTGATTGCTGTGTTTTGTTTCAACCCAACTGCACCATATGAAACATCCTCGTTCATTCATTCTTAAGCCCCTTCTCGATTATGATGCGCTTGTCTCATGTTTTTGTTTTTGCACTGCTCGGGACACGACCTGGGCTTCTGGAGTAGCAGTTTATGCCTTGTGGTGCAGTTGGTTAATAAGCATTTTTTGCACACAGGCCGTAGACGCTTTGAAATGAGCATGGACGTGGAACAGCTAGCTTGCCACCTCCACTGGTGGATCTTTGGAGAAACCACCACCGCACGAACACTTCCCCAAACGTAACGCAACGCACAAAATTTATCAAAATAACACCGCACCCTTATCCAGGGAGTCTTTGAATGGAGGCAATCCCGACGGCAGTCTTTTGATGAGGCTGCCAGTGGCTTCAAAGACACTCCAGCAAGTGGTTTTCAGCGGCAAAATATTGATGCAGGGGGTTCTTTGAATGGAGGGTTCTTTGATGCTGAAAGCGGCAATCAAGGTCATCCACCGACGAGTTTCACAATCGAAAGGGTTTCACAATTATAGAAAGAACCCAATTTCGGAATTAGAGGTTTCTCAGGTTTGCCTTTTTTGGTGCCCTCTAAGGGTGCCCTCTTGCCCTGCTTTTTGTGGAATTCCCAGCTGTGAGTGAGTCCAGCGGATGAACGGCAGAGCACACGGTAATCGTCACACGCTATGTGTTGCACCCTTTTGAGTGGTTTGAATGTCACAGAAAACCTATAGGACGCTACGAATGGGGCTCCTGGCCCTACTCGTACTAGGAACAAGAATGCTACGACGCGGCTCCTGGCCCTACTACTAGGAACACGAAGCTACTAGGGGCTCCTGGCCTTGCTACTAGGAGCAAGGGCGCTACTAGGGGCTCCTGGCCTTACTACTGGGAGCAAGGACGCTATTAGGGGCTCCTGGCCTTACTACTAGGAGCAAGGACGCTACTAGGGGCTCCTGGCCTTACTACTAGGAGCAAGAACGCTTCTAGGGGCTCCTGGCCTTACTACTAGGAGCAAGGACGCTACTAGGGGCTCCTGGCCCTACTACTAGGAGCAAGGACACTACTAGGGGCTCCTGGCCTTACTACTAGGAGCAAGGACGCTACTAGGGGCTCCTGGCCTTACTGCTAGGAGCAAGGACACTACTAGGGGCTCCTGGCCTTACTACTAGGAGCAAGGACGCTACTAGGGGCTGCTGGCCTCACTACTAGGAGCAAGGACGCTACTAGGGGCTCCTGGCCTTACTACTAGGAGCAAGGACGCTACTAGGGGCTCCTGGCCTTACTACTACGAGCAA